CTACTATGCTAACTATACCCAGAGGTGCAAAAGAATGCATTGAGAGTGTAAGAAAAAAAGACTTAAACCAAATGTTTTATTTGAGGTTTATCTCACACATTCTTGTGAATTGCAGCACCTCACAGCTCCTTATTTCCCTGAATTTCATTATGGGAATAATCCTCCCCTAATTAAAATGTATAAGGGATAACAGACACAAAATGTTCTTTAACCAAGTAGACAGTAAGAATGTTCTCCTGAAGCATGTCTGACAGTGGCCAATCGCCGACTCAGGTGTAGCTCAGTTGGCACGGTGGCTCAGTGAGCAGCCATGCAGTTTGTACGCCCTTCCCCTGTCGCCCAGGTTCCTGTCATTCCCTGCCATGCTCCCAGGAAATGCACTTAGGTTCCTGTCATTCTCTACCATGCTCCCAGGAAATGCACTTAGGTTCCTGTCATTCCCTGCCATGCTCCCAGGAAATGCACTTAGGTTCCTGTCATCCCCTACAATGCTCCCAGGAAATGCACTTAGGTTCCTGTCATCCCCTACCATGCTCCCAGGAAATGCACTTAGGTTCCTGTCATTCCCTGCCATGCTCCCAGGAAATGCACTTAGGTTCCTGTCATCCCCTACCATGCTCTGCTCCCAGGAAATGCACTTAGGTTCCTGTCATCCCCTACCATGCTCCCAGGAAATGCACTTAGGTTAATGGCTGTCTCTAAATTCCCCAGTGTCCGTGTATGTGTTTCGTGAGGGAATGACATCCTGTCTAAGGTGGACCCCAGCCTTGTCCCCCTATGCTGCCTAGGATAGGCTCCAGCCCCCCCCCCCCCCCCCCCCCCCCCCCCTACACACACACACACACATTTTTTTGTGGTTACTTGTTAGATGATGGATCGCCTGTGAATTTAAATTCCTGAATTATCAACACTTTTTTATCCATCCATCCATCCATCCATCCATCAATTTTCCATACTTGCTTGTCCTATTCAGGGTTGTGGGGGGTCCTGAGCCTATCCCAGGACGGGCTGCCAACCCATCACAGCACTTTTTATCCAAATTAATAATTTGATGCATTTTCTCCTACCAGTCTACCCCATTAGCCTATGAACTAGTGGTACTCCAACTGGTTCCTGGCAGAATATACTGGTTTTCCAGTTCCCTTTGGACCATTAACAACCTTGTACTCAGCAAGGAATCCAAGTCAGGTCAATCATGGAGGTAATTAGTTCAGTCTGGTGCCAAAGTGCTCAAGCAGAGTAGAAGCATAGAGAGTGTGTAACCCATCAAGGCCAACCCACTGGGGCAAAATACCATATTTTTACAACTCGGAGACCAGAGGCTCCCTAAGAGTCTTATGGATTTTTTGTGCATTGAAATACTCTTATTACATTACACACTTATCAAATCATTTTCCCTAGGGGAAAAAACTTTACACTGTAACAAATTATGCAGTATACTGTTATCGTATATATTCATGACCTATGCTATCACAAACCTAATAACAGCAGTCAAATAGTTTATTTTCTATGCTCCGTTGTCAATCAATTCTTCCATCTTTTCAAAAAGCTTAATTAATAAAACTTTAAGAATGCAATTTGCAATGATCCACAGCAGATCATGAATCCAAGTGATCTTTTTATCTTATCTCACAAAATGTTTAACATTAATTTAATGGTATAAGATGAATTAAGTGGATCTGACTTTTGCGGAGTTGCTTAAAGAGTAGTTATGTACCTTCTTTAATTTGCTGTATGTTATGCATATAGGAGTGTTGCACAGCATACTTTCAATACCTGTTTTTATATGAACCCAATGCTGCAACAATCATGCGATCCCAACTGATTCTGTGCTGGCATGAACAACCTTTATTTCTGGAACATTTTCATTCTACTTTTTATTCTAAATGTGCATATACATGTAGATAAAGATTAAACTTGAAAAACTAGTTTTTATTGAAGAATAAAAAAAGGAAATTCAGTTAGGTTATACTCACATTGAATAGCTGCAATTTAAAAAAAAACAAGTTCATGGGCAAACTGCTTTGATAAAAATAAAATGTTAAATGCAGACTTGTGTGTGCCCGCCTCATTGTGTGTGTGCACTGTAAATTGCACAAAATATATCTCCTAATGTTTTTAAGTCCCTCGCTAATGACTGCGTTCTGTGGTAGCTGTGATGTAGCTTTGCTGTATTCCATTAGGCTAAATGCAGGAGTAATGTGTTGTTCCAACACAAAAGTTTGGTTTCGGGAAGAGCAGCTGGAGACCCGCATCCGCCATGCGGCACGAGAGCCGTGCTGCTTGATGGATATTGCTAACGTACCTTATATTCATGAACTCAAAAGCTTAATACCGCGTCTTAACTGTCCCTCAAGAGGAGAGCGGCGCCTTCCCAGCACCGTCAATCATCCCACGAAATTGCTATTCCCCTCGGAAGCACTCTGATTTGAATAGGCCGAGTGAAGTGGAATATAAGTTTTGCACTAATCTTAAGCTAAATTTCCAGATGCTGGTGTCTCCAATGATGGGCAGCACTATACCATGCTACCTTATTTAACTATATTTACGTGATTTACCTTTTTAACACTGTGATGGACTGGCTTCCTGCCCAGGGTGGATCCCTGTGCTGCACCCTGTCAAGGTTAAGCGACTGGATAATGGATGAATGTTCATAACATCCTTGCAGCTCGGAATTAAATTCTCCAGTCTGGTTCAAGAGTTTACTTTTCTTATCATCCAAATTGAAAACCATCATAAGCATCAAAACTGTAAGCCATTATACTCCATTGTTTGGAAACACTTCCCAAATCAGTCTAACAAAGTATTTTTCCAATCACAGGCTGCACAACAAACGACAAAATAGAGATACCCCAGGCTGCAACAAACAAATAAATAAATAAATGAACATGGCTGGGGGATCTAAAATGTGCTGCTAAAAAAAAAGATGCAATATTCAGAAAATAGTTTAATTAACCAAACAGAGTAGAACAATTTCAGTCTCTGCACTTAATTAAGCATGCAGAGTGAAGGAGAGTGAGCAGGGGGCTTCCAGATGGCGAATAACCCTCTAAATCACTCCAAAGAGAAGCGGAAATCTCTGTTTGTTTTTCAAAGTTGATTGCAACAAGTCAATTTGAAAAAAGAAAAAAAAATCACAGTTGAAATGAGAGTTTGCCTGAAACATAGCTTAGCTCCCCACAAACTTAATGGCAAACAGCTCATTAGGATCTTTCTTAAAACAAAAAAAGTGAAACTGGTCTCCTCATCTCCAGAATGAAGCGGTGTCTTTATCTTGCCTACAAATGCAATATTTCAAGGTTCTGGTAACAATAAGGGGCAACAAAATAAGGTGCTTTAAGTTATTTAAGAAGATGTAGAACACCTGAAGAAATACATGGCTTAGTATGTGGCAAAATACTTTAAATATTGAAACTGCTATGAATCGGTTGAGTCAATTTAGATTGGACAGGTTCTTTAAGATAGAAGAATTGTACCCTACAGCATCAAGACAACCTGCAGGTAGCGAATACATTTGCGGACACCATTACGTATGACGGGCACTGAGAAACCCAGAGGTGACGCTTCCCTGTTTATTCACAGGGTGAAGTCTGTTGTCAGAAACTGAAACCATAAACAATTCTGAAAGCCACTTGGGCTGACGCTCGTCTGTTAGGCTCTCAGCAACAACAATGGTCTTGTGGCTCTGACTGCACTACAACTAAGCGAATCGGCATCGGCAACGCATTGCTCTTAGGAAGGCAGGTACAGGAGACAAAAAGGACATCAGCACAACGGCCAGTGCTTCCACGACAGTCAGCCCTCTTCACAAAATCACTCTTTCCGAACACGCTCACGTCGTTCCCTCACATCCCCACACACACTCACTCCACCCGATTGCAAGTTAATTGAAACTAATTTATTTAGTTTGAAAAGCATTTAAGATGGCCCCAAAATGATGTACTTATTACTTTGTTATTCTCAAACACAATTAAAAAATAATATATAAATATATACATACTGCAAATGACATGCATATGACGGATTCATTTGAGCCCATTTCAGACCATTAGTAACCCACCATGAGGTGTGAGCCAAGCATTGGAAGAAGACCCCTTGGCGATTTATTTTATATTAAATCCCTAATGGCCTCTCTGCTTAGGCTTCTAAAATATGCACCGACGTCCACAGAGCGCCGGCGCTGAATGGTTATTTATTCGCTAAACGAGGACCCATGTTTAATGTTCCTTGGACACAAGGTAGTTCTAGGGAGGTCGCATCCCTTCAGCTATATACATCATTTATTTTACACATACCCTAATATCTCACACCGGGCAGCGGGGGAGAAAAATATCCTCGTGGAAAAAAAAGAAGAAAAAAGAAAGAGAAAGAGTAAAGACATTAGAAGTTGCAGAGGGAGTGTTTTCTGAGATGGTGGCGCTGAAGGATTGTTGCCTGAGTGCAGGAGAGGGCAGACGGAGGGGGTGGTCAGCTGCCCGGAGATTTCAGCTCCATCTTCAGACTGAATATCGTCCCACAGGATCGAATCGCGTCAAAGCATGTCGTGCTGGAGAGCTCTCCTTAGACACTACAGACGGTACCAGGCTGGTGTGACGGCAGTACCATTATCAACCACTAGATGGCATTTACTTACTGAAAACTGACCGCTGCAAAAATCCTTTTTTTTTACCTTTCACAAAAGGGACTTTTTACAAGTTTGTGCTTCTCCCTTTCTACTGCTATATACAGATATTTGAATGGAGAATTACAGCAAAAAGCCCACAGCCCCTTAATTGGTTCAATAAGGAAAGGCAGTTATTTGCCATTATAAGGAATCACGAACCCAGAGACAGACGGCAGCTTGATAGGTGGATGACACATACCTGCAGGGGGATCACTTGTGTCACCTGAGAGTGATCATCCACAGGGAGTAAGGTGACAGCAATGCTGCTGCAAGGTGACTCAGCCGGTAGCCCCCAGGGCAATGCACACACATCGCCCACCAACACAGCGCAGCTCACCTCCAGGTCCAAGGACACCACGCTGATCAGCAGCTTGACGTCCCCGTCCAACAGCTCCTTCTGCTCCCTCAGGAGGATTTCATCAGTGCTTATACCTTTGCCACAGACAAACCACAGACAAACCACATGTCAGTTAAAAGCATCAGCATTGAGGGTCTGTGCTGAGCACTTTGCAGTCTGAAACAAACATCTGCGACCAGCTAAATATGTGGAGACCTGTCCTGTCTGCCGAGATCTCCTGCGGTTGGGTTGAGTGCAGACATCTCCCCAGCTTAGAGCTGCTACAGCAAGAAGTGTTTTGAACACCAGCTTCTGCCACACAGCCTGAAAAATTCTGTGGGAAATCGCCGTTTGCTGTCCTGCCCAACGCCCGACTGCCTGTCACCTCGGATGTCTCCTCTAGCTGCGCTCCCGCCCGAATGGCCCCCTTGGTCCTGCTGTGGACACCCTCGCTCCAGCTCCCCGAGGAGCTCCTCGCAGGCGGGGGGAAGGCGGCCATCTTTGGTTAGGCGCTCCCTGGACAACACCAGGAGGGCTTCTGAAAGGACAAATTAAGGAAACGATACACTGCATTCCACATATCACTGCAAGTTCTTATTAAGTCTCTACAGTGCTCTGTAAAACCATTAACTTCATTTAAAAGAGGCCTAAGTTACAATGGAAATCTTAAGTGAATAAAACTGACCACTCTCAGCTGTGAAAAAAGTCAGACGTCAGCAAGAACTCAACAAAAAATCAAACACGCTGACTTCACAGGATATTACTCCTCTCAGTCAATAACTGAAGGGTCCAAAACATCAGTATCAATTACAGCCGCTATTGTTCTCAGTTGGTCACAGGTACCCAGGCCTCCCAAAGCTTGCGGGCAGACTGCAACTTTAGTATATTTCCTCAAAGATTTCCCTTCACAGAGGAACTCCGAAGAATCCCCCCACAAGCTGTGTGTACTTCTCTCCTGCCCGGCATCAGTCTTCAGCCAGTGGCAGTCTTTGCTGCCAAGATCACTGTAATATCCTGAGGTCTAACCTACCCGAAGCTGCATTCTCTTCAGTCCCAGAATTCCCATTAGATCACATTAGATGAGATCACCAAACTCCGCACCAAGGATGCTGATGGCTGGGCCCCGGCGTCGGGCTTCCCCCGGAGCACTGCACTCTACCCTTGCAACACATATGCTTACGTGTGCTGTGGCTACACAGGAGGTGTTGCTGCTCATACTTGAATGTGTAGTTTACATCAATCTGGAGGATTAAAAGTTATGTCCACCAGGGGCCAGTGTGAGAAAACCGTCTTGAGCGGCTCCGTCGTTTCCGGTCTTACTTGTTTATATGAGACTGTGGCATGAAATGTTTTACACTTGCTGCCTCCACAGCGAGTTGCTAATTCTGTAATATTGCCGCAGCCTTCTCTATATTCTATCCACAGCTCCACATTGTATTGATACTTCGCTCTGCCATCGTTTTACTACCTGATGTTGAATGTTGTATTGTATGTCATTAGTTATCTCATAGTGTACGCTATTAGCATTAACATATACTAGATAACCTTGAAATGGAACAGTCATTAAAACTGCAAAGCTTGCTAAGTTTTTTTTCCCAATGACGGAATATAAATGTTCTAGTGAAACATAAGCCCACCACTCTCAACGAATTTTATCAGCAAGATTTCTAAATACCATAACTACATTATACATATACTTATATCACTGTACTGTTCATACAGTATGAAGGTATGCAAAAGCCTCATCTCAGCACAGCTGCGATGTGAGAATTGCATGTTGCATGAATTGCATGTTCATAACTTGCAATGTCGATATTAATATCGCAGATCACCCAGCCATACTTAGTATTTTTGTACTGTAATGTTGCACTGTCTTGTTAAATGTCTGTAGTATGTGGAGAAAGCATTCAAGTAGGAATTTCACTTTGTACACTGTACTTTACACATATAATTTTGTTTTTTTTTTGCTCAGATTGAATTCAGAAGCAGAAGAAACTTAAACTACCATTATATTTTGAAGACACTGTAGACCAGGGGTGGCCAATCTTGTCCATAAAAGGCCGGTGTGTATGCGGGTTTTCGGTGAAACTCCCTAATTAGATTACTAATTAGAGGACTGATTGGCTGACGAGTCCTCACACCTGGGTTTGAACAGCTGACCTAAAGGTTATCCCAAAAACCTGCACACACACCGGCCCTTTGCGGATAAGATTGGCCACCCCTGCTGTAGACAGAGGCACACAGTAGTGTTCAGAATATTTTTTTCTCTTTTCTCTGAAAATCTTCTAGCACTCATTCTTAAAAAAAATCAGATACTACTATCTGTACCGTATATAAACACATAGTCCTATTACAAAAGTTGCCCCAAGACTTTTGGTGGTACTGCATCTCACATACTCGTAGTATTAATTCAACGTGTTGGTGCGCAAACGGTGCACGGAATGACACAGGATAGGCATGGCCACCATGATGCGCAAGCGGATGTGTTGCGGGCGTCTAAACCGGCCCCCGCAATTGCACATGTTATATGCCCACCTCACAACTATTGCTCTGGTAGTCGAACATGAAACAAATATATAAACAAAGGACCCTTCATAGAGAATCAAACCTAAACGCAGAGTTCCCTCCACAGTAAGTTTCTGTTTACACAGAGCATAATACCTTACTGTTTTTTGGGGGGTTTTTTGCCATTACACTGAACGTTTGAAGGTAACAGCCTCATTAGAAGTAGCTGTCGACACGCTGGCTAAAGGGGATGAACACGTGTGGCCCGAAATTCACCCAACCCTGGTGTCAGCCAGCCTTCGGAGTCCGGACCAGCGTAATGACAGTGTGACTGGGGCTCAGGTGAGGTCAAAGTTCAGCCCCAGAGAGCCAACTCAGTCGCACCGGTGATATCCTGACAGCTCTTTTGGCAAAGGGTGATGACAAAAAAAGCCCGAATAAAGAATCGTCTCCGAGAGCAGACCCCCACCTGTGCCATCCTCTCCCTGTTATCATGGTCAGTCTTTCCAAAAATTTCGGACCCACATTATTCCTTGGTCATGACCCAAAAAAGCTGTCAACCAGGGCAGGGGGCTGGCAATTTTTGTTTTAACCACACACTCCATGACCTACCAACTGAGAAACACTGATTGTGTCCAATCCTTTCCGGCGATTATGGAGACTGGCCCGGAGCTCCACACGTCGCATACTGTATCTCCCCCGAGCGCCGCTGCCAAAATGCGATGAGTTCTTACACCCTAGCAAAGTCGTGGCCGCCGGCAGGTTTCGTCTCGAGGCCCCCTCCCTCTCACCCTGCCGCCCGCCCCAGGGCCCTCTTAAAGGCTCTTGTTAAGCGAGACGTGGCAATGGCAACGCGCTCCATTAGCTCCCAGGAAGGGGGGGTTGGATATGGGGGGGGGTCCCCTAGCAGCAGTGGTGTAGTCGCGACAGCGGCCCTCACCTCGGAGGAGCCCGACCAGGGGGGGCGCCAGCCGCTCCGATGCCTCTTGGAGAATCTCCCTGGCGACCGCTGCTGTCAGCGAAGCAGCCTCGCTGGCTCCCCCCCGTCGCTCGGAGCGATGGATCACTTTGACATCGCTTGATGCCAGGGAGCCTGCCTTCCCCCTGGAAACAAGGGGTGGGGGGGGGGAGAAGTAGTTGGCAAATTAAGGCGAATCTGCATAAAACTCAGCTGAGCCCTTGGGCTAAGGAGCCACAGAGGAGAGCGCTTGCTCCTTACCCCCCCGCCGCCCCCCGTCCCCTCGGCCATTACCGCCGGCTTGCTCCGCGGCTGCCTCGCCCTCGCTCTGCCAGCTGGGATTGTCATATCTCATTTCCGCTGGAATCCCACTAATGCTGTACCTACTTTTCCAGCTCAGCGGACTCGCACTTTATGCTCGTCGAGTCACTTCTGCTCCCCGTCACCCTGTCCATTACCACATGCACCCCCCACCTGTGTTCCTGGGCTTTCACATGGCCCTCAGCCTCCTGACACCACGTTCAGAAAAGCTCACTGAACACTATGGAAGAATGGATCCATTTAAAGTACAAAGGCTGGTTAGAAATACAGTCAAAATGATTTCAGCTCAAACTAAACACACACTCTCATTTACTTCCTGGAATCAAACTGAAGATTCACAGTAATATTTTTCCATAAATATGAAAGACAGCATGTCTGTCAACATCCCCCTGACCTGAATGACTTTAGCAAACATTCCCACTGTAACATTATGAGATTTGTTAGTAATCTAAGCCAAAAATTCTGTAGATAAACTGACTCCTTAGGCAGGAAGTAGTTTTGCAGGTGAACGTGCACTGTAAGAAATGCCCGTAAAAAATACGGTAAAAATACCTTAAATGGCGACGGAAAAATACCGTGTCAAATATAGAAAAAGAACTGTAAATGTATTTAATCTGTATTTAATACATTGTTTGACTGTACAATTTTTAAAAATACAGTAAAAAATACTGTAAAACACCTTAAATGATAATGGGAATATACTGTAAATATCAATCAGGTAAAATACTTTTTAAAATATATTAACTATTTGTAAGTATAAAATTTATCTTTCATACGATTTTTAGTTGTAACATGAATTATTTTCTGCTTCAGCTACTGGTGTAATCTGTAACATGATAATGACATGAGAATACGTGTTAAAATACAGTTTTAAATATGTAGTTCTACAGTTTATGGACACAAGGTATACCGTTACACATTAAACAGTGCTCCTGTAATTTTACAGTAGAATTTATACTGTGCCGTCGGTGAGCCAAGCGCCGTCTGGCCTATTTGCATGTGTCCCATCATGCCGCACTGTCGTGCTGACAACGGCCGCTGTCTATGTCATGCATGTAGTTAATGTTCCAGGTTCCATGCATCGTGTGTTCTGTACTGGTGTCCTGCTTAAGTTCAAACCCACCATGTGTAGTTCCCATTGTCCGTACAGTGACCCTCCCCCTGTTCCACCAGTTAGAAGTAATGCTTGTTCTTGTATGTTGTTATACAAACAGGTGTTGTGATGATTGGTGTGATTCACAGTCCTGTCAATGATTATGAATAAAAGAGCTTTAACTGGACTGCATTTGTGATTTGGCATCATGGCTGAAATCAACTACAATACAATGGAAAATCTACACCTGTACATTTTACTGCTACAATTTGCAGTTTTTACAGTTTTTAACTGTTATTTTCACATTACAAAAACATAATGTTTTAATATGAAAATGTTTGGAAAAATATGGATTTAAACCATTTATTATACAGAATAATAATATGTACCGTATTACATTGAACAGTATTTCTGTAATTTTACGGTGAAATTCTGGCAACTACAGCTGCCAGTAATTTACCGTAAAATTTATAGATTTTTTTTTACAGTGTGTACTTCTCTGTCTTCAAAATGTACTGTATGCATTTAAAGATAGAGAGTAAAAGTTCTATTAAGCATAATAAGGTAAAATGCACTATGATGATGGTGCAGTGAAGAGCTGTTAACTGGACCCGTTTAACCTGAGACTGAGTGTCTTCATACCCGATGATGGCGTCACTGTCCAGAAGCGTGACCGTCAGCTTCCTGGCTGCATGCAGCATGAACTGGTCGATGTCGTCTCTCCAAAGCATGGCGGACTCTGCCACGCCGAGCCTCTGCAGAAAGGCCCGGGTCTCATCTGGCACAGCCGGCTGGGACCGGTGCTGGTTCAGGATGGGCACACATAGGCAGTCCCCGGGCTCCTTCTGTAATGTCAGCAAGGCTCACAACATCGGTAGCCCGAGGTCCTAGACCAATCAAATCTTCCCGTCGGACTACCAAAATGTAATAACGCCCTGCTCGACGGGCTATCAGAAACAATCCCCTAAGTAAATTAAAACTGCCTCCTTTATTTGCCTTTTCTGTTCTTTTGACTTGCTATTTGGAGGAAAAACTTTGACCACCAAGTTGTTGATCATGATGATGGTTTGTCCGCTAGGACGTATAGGTTTAAAGCCTTCATTTATAGCAGGGTTTATTTATTGCCTAATCCTCTCACGCTGCCATCTTGGTGCATTGTCTGTCATGGTAATACAGTACTCTAAGCAAGCAAGCAAGTTAAGTCAAGAACAGTTATCACACCAGTCGTATTCAGTACACTGCATATGGTGATTAAAAGCAAATGATGTAAAGAGAATATGGATTATTTCCGGATGAGACCCATACACAGCGAAAGCAAAATGGTTGTGAATTGCTGTGAATCACTAATTATCTGGTTTAATAAACGTCATGGGTAACACAGAGAGCAACTAAAAGTCTGGGGGTTTAAGTTCTTTATGTCTGGCTGGGTACAAAAACTGCAGAGGAAAAGGTGTGAAAGAGATATTTTGATATTTAGTCATGGGTAAGTACAAGTGTAAATGTCATGCTTATTATTTTTCCCTAATCATTCATATATATTGCTGTCTGTGCATATTGTTGTTATTACAACAAATCCAGTTTGATCACACATAAGTGTGTTTTAAAGGCAAATTGCCATTGGTCGATTTATTTTATCCCTATTTTATCCCTGGGTGTGCTGATGCACACACATATACAGTACATACGCACACATAGAAATGCCTTTTTTAATTTATACTACTCAAAATGTATTTCGGCCTACCAAAATCCAAGAATGTCTGCACAAAGGGCTACCAGGGATTTAGAAATTTTGCAAGCCCTGGTCAGCGTCCATGCGTTAAGAGCCAGCTGTATACATACGAACATGCAGCATCCCACACTCTCAGTGAACACACTCATTCTATGCACTGACTCCCACCGGAAGCGGCATACCTTACCTGGCTGAGGAAATACGCGTAGCCCAGCGATGCAGCCACAGAGTCCACATCAGCCTCCTCTCGACCCAAAACTGCATGAATTCCTGCACACTGAGAACCAGATTCCTACCAAGAGAGCCAGACAGGCCAATAAAAGCTCCAGCTAACATCTGTGGGCTGAATCAGTGATTAGCACTGCAGTGTGGATCTGTAGTCATTACTGCAGTGCGGACCAGTGGTCAGTACTGCAGTGTGGATCAGTGATCAGTACATCAGATTGGAGTAGTGATTATTACTGCAGGAACAGTGGTCAGTGCTGCAGTACTACAGTATGGAGCACTGGTCAGTACAGCAGTAGGAAGCAGTGATCAGTAAGCAGTAGTATAGAGCAGTGGTCATTACTGCAGAGTGGAGCACTGGTCAGTACAGTAGCGATGAATGATTACTACAGCAGTATGGAGCAGTGGTCAGTACTGCAGTACAGAGCACTGGTCAGAACCGTAGTTCGGATTAGTGATCAGTACTGTGGTTCAGATCACTGATAAGTATGGCAGTGCAGATGGTGGTATGGATTGGTATGGATCAGTAACAGATAAGCAGTGTAGGATCAGTATTAGCTTTTAACATCACAGTGGATCAGGGATCAGTCACTTACTCAATCACAGATCTTAGAGCTAAGACCCCATGATTATTATTAAGTACAGCATTGAGCACAATAACCATAAGTGAAAATGTACTAAATAGGTGCACAGTAAAACAGCTCCCTACGGATCTAAACAATGCTAGCAGTTCATTGCTACCAGAGAGCTGCAAAACAAGTTGATTTATCAGCAATGGCCTGCACGGCATTAACTGCTCGATTACGGCATGCTATCTAGCCTTATGTCTCTGTGATTTTGCAAAACATCAGTCCCGCTGCACTACCCCCAGGCCGGGGGTGACCGCAGCACCCGGAGCCCCTCCTTCCATGGACTTCCAGAAGGACCAGCCAGAGAGGAGCAGACAGCTCATGGGGTGCGTCACAATAAAAACCAAGTGTTGATCCTTCTAATTGCGGGGCTGCGCTTTGCATACTCCAAAGACAAAGATATTAAAATTGTGTGCGGAATAGCCGGCAGGTAGGAACTAAATATGCTGCTTAATTGCCTGTGCTGAGAAAACATCAGCCCTAATGCCTAGCCCACTGTCACCAGAGGGATAAATACAACTGCCTAGGTCTTTTACAAATAAAGAGAGAAACATTAAGCGGAGGGGGGTGGGGTATTGGTTTATGCGAGGCTAAGATCTCCCCTTGGCCCTTTCTGTCAGAGTCATGATTCAGAGTGTATCACAGGGACAGGCCGCTCTCTTCCAGGGGAATACAAGAGATCACCGAATACGTCCAGGAATGGCACAATGCCATGGAGACGGCCCGCATCACTGACACGACACGTTCACGCTTTGCCCGTTGCTGCTTTTCTACACAATTCACGAGACGGCACATCTGTCACCTTGCCTTTATTGGACTGTACAATACTTATATCACTGTTTGGAGGAAATGACACTGACAGCCCATCCAGTGGTTGAGTACAATATTGATTTTAGTGCCTTTGTTTCAGATGACGTGATGCGAGACGAAGGAAGCTAGGTGGCCTTCGGTGGTCTGGCACAGCACTGACAACAAGAAGAAAATAAAATATGAGACCCAATATCCGACTATGTACACTGTATCTATAGAGCAAATCACCCGAGGCACACAAATCTAGAATTCTGTTTTTTCAACAGCATTAAATTTTCATATAAACTTAATAATGTACACTTCCCTGTTACAAAAGGACATCAAACAGCAATTTAAGACATAATTTAGGAACTTATAGCTCACTTTGCACCATGTTTTATACTCAGCAATATATTTTTTTTAATTGCCCATGGGCTATTGAATCTGAATGACTATTTAAATGGTCATTAAAAACACAAGCTTTGTCACTTGGATGAGGTTCATGTAAGAGCTGAGTTTGACAACATGCAATTACAAGAACAATATAAATCTAGAGCACCAGTGTGCTTTGGCGAAACTCAGTACATTTATGCTTTTTCTGTCTGATTTTGTTGTGTCCCCCTTCCCAATAAACATGCTAGCTGTAATGTAATATACAGTTTCTGACCAAACACCACTGGACACCCCCTAACTGCTCTGTAACAGAATTTATTGTTCAGAATGCAACAATATCACCTTTCTGACAGTGACATGAGAACATTGCAATGAACAATACAGGTCGCAGAGCTCAAATTGGCAGTGGAGCTGAAGCACAGAATTACTTCATGATCTTCATGGGTGGTGGAGCCTGCTGATGCTCTGAAAGAACACTACCCGAAATGGGCAGAACTTCCTCAGTCATGGAAGCCAAAAGATTTAAACAGCTTGTTAACATGTCGCTTGTACAGTAAGTCATTACATTTAAAGCAGCGATGGATCTCTGTCTTGCTTGAATATGGAAGCTACAGCATGATTCACCTCTCATCATGTGTCAGGAGAATCTGTCCTCTGCAGAACTCTGGCTGCAGGTGTCTCATCCAACTCAGGACACCCAGTAAACACCTACATTTTCCATGAGGAAGATGAAGATGTGATTAAATACGTTATAAATGTAACCGTTAACTGCAACTCATTGTTGAAGCAATTAGACACAGCAGCACGCTGATGGAATCGGAGGTAACTCAGCTACTGAGAAGTTCCAGAAACAAAACTGGCCTCTCTGTACAGTTCTGCACAGATACAGCGGTTCTTCCCTGCTCCATAAACTTGATTGTGACCCAGCCCACTTGACAAAGTCAGGCTCTCTGATGGGAGTCAATTAGAGATATGGAATATCTGGATGCCTGCCACGCTGACGGATGGGCGGGCGGCCTGTCTGGTCTTCACAGTGCGGGTTATAGCTTGGTATTCTAAGGAGGCATCGGCGGCTCAGTGTCCTTTGATAAGTGTCCTCCGGTCGGCGGCTGGGCTGCTCCAATAACGATGTCCTCGGTGACATCCCAAGCGTGGCTGGAAGCATCTGAATTCTGCTATGGCGCTCTCAGTTATACTGAAGTAAACAAGGAGTGCGAGTAATGATCCTTGGCTTTTCCACCCTCTCAGCCTCCCTGCTGTATGGCTACTTGGGTATTCACAGAACCAGTTAGTGCACACGCACAAGGGCCCGAGCTTACAGGAGATTTTCAGCCAGAATGTTGAGAATATCCCACTCTATATAATGTCTACACATTCTGGGGACACTATTAATCAAGTTAAATTAATTTATCTGGAGTTTGGAGTTTATTTGAACGATCTTTCTGTTACCCGAGCTTTAAGTCACTTTGGATAAAAGTATCTTCAAAATAAATAAAAACATAAATGTAAATTAAAATCTGTAAAAACAAGAGGTTTGTTCCTCTTCTGGTTGTTGGTTGACTAATTTTATATGTAAATTTAGTTCTAATCTATGGTTTCAGTAGTCTGTGTGTCAGTCTTCGTCTGTGTGTGCATGCATGTGCTCCTTGCGTGTTTGTGTCCGCCTTCCTCCCAAGTATCATTAGAGGCAGGAAGCAAAGAAAGAATTAAAACTCCCATTGCTCGCCGTCCTCCAGGACCTCCCCAATGCCTGCTCTAGCACAGCTGGCTCCAGAGAGCATTAGCACCAACCAACGGAGTGGTAACGACCCTTTGGCCTTTTTGCGTGCCGCGGAGGAGATGACTCAATTGCACCAACTGCCGTGTGGAAGACATGGCTACATTCAGCCACCACGGGCAGGGGGCAGCACTGTCCACTGCTGGGCCATTAAAAACAACAACACGCCTTCCCATTCTGTGCTAAAGCTAAACATTATGTATGACATCTATGCTGAACACAGCAGTGTTTGCTCTTTAAAAAAATCACGCTCACTTGTACTGAATCTATGAATAATGCACTTTAAAAAACGTGCATGCACCAGGACATCACAGCATCGTGAGAGCCAGAGAGGAGCCAGGACAGACCTTCTGCAACAAGCAAAACTCATCAGGACGATATCTGCAGATGACTATCATGATCATGATCAAGATCAAACCTCTTTGCCAAGAGCAAAAGCAATACAGTGCATAAGAAAACCAAGCTCACCCAGAAGGTTATCAGTTCAGTTCTCAGAAAAGGCAAATACACTTGAATTTATGATCCAAAATGTGTAAAATCCCCTTTTAAAAAGTCTTTTCCAAGAAACTAACAATAGTCACAAAATGGGTAATTGTGATGAAAAATGACAAAAGTCATTGTTGTTTGCTAGTTTGAAAATCTAAGATGAACACCATCTTGAAATATATAGGTGTGTGTGTGTGTGTATAACATGGGGGCAGTGTGTGGCTCCTCAGATTAGGGTTAGGGTATAGGTATGTGTGTGTGTGTATGTGTGTGTAACATGGGGGCAGTGTGTGGCTCCTCAGATTAGG